GCATGCTTATAAGCCTGAACTGTTCTCTTTTAATAAAACTTGTCGCTTTTACTGAAGTGGTCTACTCTGGGTGCAGAGTCAAAACCCAGGCTCGGTACATTATCGAGGAGGGGACTTAGAAGAAGAAGAGGAGATTGAATTTATACCCTGCCCTTCACTCAGAGTCTCAGAGCGGCTTACAAAATTCCTTTCCCTTCCCCTCCCCACAACAGACACCCTGTGAGGTAGGTGGGGCTGAGAAAGCTCTTTCGAGGACTGCTCTTGAGAGAACAGGTCTGACAGAACGATGGCTTGCCCAAGGTCACCCAGCAGCTGTGAGTGGAGGAGTGGGGAATCAAATCCGGTTCTCCCAGATCAGAGTCCGCGCACTTAACCACGACACCAGACTGGCTCTCATTTCTCCCAGGGCTCCCGGGAAGGAACAGGGAGATCGGATCACCTCAAATAAGGCCTGAGCGGGTCAGGAGAAGCTTGGTATTCCAGTTTGGTCTTTGCATCTGTTAAACACCTTTAGTATGCTGTATGCAAATTTGCTGTTCACCCTCTACCTATATGTGTGGACTGGCAACTTCCACTTCAGCATATCCGAGGACGTGTGCATGCACACAAAAGCTCATTCCTTCAATAAAACTTTGTTAGCCTTAAAGGTGCCGCTGGACTCGGGCTTGGTTCTCCTGCTTCAGACACCAACATGGTGACCTGCCTGAATCTACAATTTTGTAATGTTTTTCTTTTCTTATCTGTGCACCATTGATATGACAGAAAGGCAGCACATAAATCTTCTAAACAAATAAACAGACAACCGGGGTTGGAATTTCATGCCTCCTGTGGGGAAGACTTTCCATTTACCTGGTGACAGGTAAATTAATTTGCCTGGTGACAGACAGAAAAGAAAGAGTAGCATTCTGCGCTTTAGCCAGCAGGGGGTGCTATTGGATTCCATTACATTCCCCTGTGCAGGTTGCAGCCTTCTCTTCCCCAAAGGAGGCAGGTGTTGGAAGACCAGCGGTGGAGAACCATCCTTTCCCATCCAAACAATGATTATTCCCCACTGAGAAGAGGAGAGATGGAGGTGCTTGATGACACAGAAGGGTAGGCACAGGCCCGAAGACGTCAGCCTGCTAACTTCTGGGCAAGTCACATGGCTAGAATCCGAGTCCTGGAAATCAAAGGCCGAGGCCAGCCGGCTCAGAAACGTCCAAAACCTTGACCCTCTTCTCTTCCAACTGGCTGGCACCACTGAAACACTCCAGGGCAGGGCAGTCTTTCTCCTAGGGGTACCAACTTGGGGGGGGGCTGGGGATCTCCCGCTTTTACAACTGATCTCCAGCTCTCCTGGAGAAAATGGCTGCTCTGGAAGTTGAACTCTATGGCACTGTGCCATGCCGAGGTCCCTCCCCTCTCCAAACCCCTTCTCCAGGCTCCACCCCCAAATCTCCAGGTATTTCCCAACCTGGAGCTGGCAACCCTGCCTTCTCCTCCCCCCTCAGCACGGCACAGCTCAGGCGGAGACCCAATGCCAACGTCAACCGTGCCAAGAGGAGAGAGTTCCTTTTGCCGGAGCAACTGGACAAGCCAGCCGGATTTGGACACGGAGTGGAATCAGATCTCCTAACCTCTGCTTTCCTCTCGAGGGGACAAGAGGGGACAAGAAACAAACTTCTACTTCTCAAAGCTGCCAGTCGGGTTTCTAGTCATGGGGCAGCAGACACCCGGTGAATCCCAAGAGACGGGTAAAAGCAGGATTTCCAGGGCACCAAATGAGGAGAGGGGCCGGCTGCCACAGAAAGTAGCCCTCTTCCCCGGGGACGGAATTGTAAGCACACCGGCTTCTCTTTGCAGCAATATCTATGGATTAAAGAACCGCGCAAGGTCAGGAATTTGGGTTTACCTTGGTACATTTTTATTGTAATTGCAGAAGAGCCAGTTTGGTGTAGTGGTTAAGTGCGCGGACTCTAATCTGGGAGAACCGGGTTTGATTCCCCACTCCTCCACTTACACCTGGCTGGATGACCTTGGGCAAGCCGTAGTCCTGACAAGAGCTGTTCTCGAAAAAGAGCAGTTTCTGTCAGAGCTCTCTCAGCCCCACCTACCTCACAGGGTGTCTGTTGTGGGGAGGGGAAGGGAGAAGAGATTGTAAGCCGCTCCTTTGGGTGGTGAAGGGCAGGGTATAAATCCAATCTCCTCCTCCTCTTCTTCTTTTTATTTATTTTATTTATTTATTTTTGAGATTTCTTTGCCGCCCTACCCGATGGCTCAGGGCGGCTAACAACAAGTTAAAAAATTGAGTACAATAAAACACTGTTACACTTATAGTAAAATCTGGTGCTACAAAAACCTACATAGAATTACACAAAACACAGCAACCCACATTTAGCAGCTAGTATTCTTAAAGGCGAGAGCCTTCAGTCTTCTACCAGTCTTCATTTCCTTTCTGGCGTAACACTCAAATATGAGGCCCAGCATGACGGGAAGACCCAAAACAACTGTTGCGGGGGGAGGTGGGGGAGACGGCTGGTGCTGTGGTGCACTGGCTTGAGTGCCGGACTGGGGTCTGGGAGAGCTGGATTTGAATCCCCATCCTGCCACGGAAGTACTTGGGTGACCTTGGGCCAGTCACACACATATTCCGCCTGATCTACCTCACAGGGTTGTTGTGACGATGTAAAGAGCAGATGCTCCGATTTGTCCAATTTTTCAGTTATTTTAAACATGGAGACCTGGGGCCGGTCACATGCTCCTAGCCTAACCTACCTCACAGGGTTGTTGTGAGGATGAAACAGAGGAGAAGAGAATGACACAAGCCGCTTTGGGTCCCCATCGGAGAGAAAGTAAATTGGTGTGGGGGCGAACAGCGATACAACATACTGGAATTCCCCCTGCATCAGGAGGGTCCAATCTGTCGCTTAATTCAGTCATCGGGCCAAATCAGGCCAAAGGAAGTTCCCCTAAGGATCAGCACCAGGCCTGAACTGATGAACCACTGACTTGCAATCTCCACGCCCCTCCCAGGTGCTAGTCCAAACCAGAATGATTGACTGACGGACAGACAGAGGTCAACACATGAAACTGAGAGCGAACTGGGGGTGGGGCCGTAGCTCAGTGGCAGAGTATCCGCTCAGCATGCAGAAGGTCCCAGGTTCAATCCCCGGCATCACCAGTTAAAGGACCAGGCAGTGGGTGATGGGAAAGACCTTTGCTTGTGGCCCTGGAAAGCAATGCTCCCTCTAAGCTGTGGAGTCCTGTGAGCAGAAATTCTACTTCGTGAGCTGCTGGCATTAAAGTTGTGAGCGAGCGATTCGGCTGCTGCATAAATTAGTTTGCTCTGAAGCCCTCCTTCCTGAGCGAAGGCAAAAATCTGTGAGCCGGAGGCTGAAAAACTGGGAGCGAGCTCATACTAACTCAGTTTAGAGGGAGCACTGCCAGAGACCCCCTCAGTGGACGAGACTGGCCTTGGTGGACCAGTGATCTGGTTCCGTATAAGACAGCTTCCTGTAGATGCAAACGACATGGAGTCTTCTGGAAGCTGGAGCCGTACTTTGGGTCTTAAAGGGCAGCTATTGCAAACTGGGAGTCCCCTGCAACATGCGAATCAAGCCCCACTGAAGGACCGCCTTCCCGCCTTGATCCGTGTGGATTTCCCTTCCTGCGGGGAGGATCTTCCGCCCCGCAGTCACCAGAGGGCAACCCTGCCTATGCCAACCGGCCCCACTCTCAGCACGCTCGTCCTTTCCCCTAGAAAAAGGAGCCTCCGGAGAAAGGCACAGGCGTGCAACATGCTTCCTGGAGGGGCAAGACATAACTTGGCAGACGCGGGCAGATTCCACAGTCTCGCCCCGCGTGCCTGCCATAGCCGCGGTGGCCGAACAAAGGGGCCGCCGGTGGATCCCCTCTCGGCTCAGGCCCGCCCGCCCTTCCTCCCTTGGCATCCTGGGATTCCCAGAGTTAGGGTTCCCAACAGGAACAGGCAGCAGTCCAGGCCAGGCTCGGCTGGTTGGCGGGCGTCCCCTCCCCTTGCCCTCTGCGCCGGCTCCCTGCAGGCTTGTGCCAGCGGCAGGGACTTCCTCATTCCAATGTCGGCAGCAGCAAAGGGCTCCACGACTTCAAGGAGGTCGGGAGGAAGAAAACTTAGAAACAGGGTGGGAAACGGTCGGCCGGTCCTAGCCTTCCGCTCTATGCAGAAACACGCGGGTCGACAATTCTCTAGCTTCAGTTTCTCTAGCTCGGGGTCAACGCTCCCTCTAAGCTGTGGAGTCTTGGGAGCAAAAATCCTACTTTGTGAGCAACTGGCATTAAAGCTGTGAGCCAGCGATTCAGCTGCTGCATAAATTAGTTTGCTCTGGAGCAGTGTTCCCTCTAAGCTGAGTTAGTGTGAGCCAGCTCACAGTTTTTTAGCCTCCAGCTCACAGATTTTTGTCTTAGCTCGGGAAGGACGGCTCCAGATCAAACTAATTCATGCAGTAGCCAAATCGCTGGCTCACAGCTTTAATGCCAGTTGCTCACAAAGTAGAATTTTTGAACACAAGACTCCACAGCTTAGAGGGAACATTGCTCTGGAGCCCTCCTCCCTGAGCTAAGACAAAAAATTGTAAGCTGGAAGCTAAAAAACTCAGCTTAGAGGGAACTCAGGAGTCCCCAACCTTTTTGAGCCTGCAGGAGCCAAAGGAAGCCCCAGGTCAGATCCTGGACTCTTTTGCATTCACTTTACTGTTGGGGGGGGGACACTTTCACACATGCAAAATAATGCAGTTTCAGTCCACTTCAGCAACTGTTTGCAAGGGGGTTTTGCCATTTCACACCATAACATCTGGCTGCAGAGTGCATTGAAAGCGTATCATTTGGTGTGTGTGAAAAGCATGCTTTTGTGGCATTTTGGTTGGCTGCAATAAAATGCATTACGCAGATTTTGTTAAGGGGAGAGGGGACTAGACAAGCAAAGGGCAAGCAACCAGACAAAGAAGGAAGGAACGGAAAGATCTGTGGACGAGACCACCACTTACCGGCAAGGAGTTTCCTATGTTCTTTGGAAAGCAAGGGAAGTGAAGCAAGGGAGGAAGAGAGAAAAAAGGAGAAAACCAGAGGTTAGAACAGCCGCAGAGAAAGAGAGAGGCATAAGCACACAAGAAAAGCCCCTCTGGGCCAGGCCAGCACCAAAAGCAAGGTAGGTGGTTCTGAGAAACCCACAAGCAGAAAGGCAGCAGCAATAGCCCCCCCCATTGGTAATTCAGAGGTACACTGCCCCTGAACACGGAGGTTGCTCAGCCTTGTGAGTTCACAGCACATCAGGGCTGTAGCTAGCTTCCATCCCTAGGTGAAGGACACAATTTCAGGGGTTTTCTCGTGAACATAAGAGAACACAAGAGAAGCCAATGTTGGATCAGGCCAATGGCCCATCCAATCCAACACTCTGTGTCCCACAGCGGCCAAAACCCAGGTGCCATCAGGAGGCCCACCAGTGGGGCCAGAACACTAGAAGCCCTCCCACTGTTGCCCCCCAACAAAGCGCCAAGAATACAGAGCATCCCTTGCCCCAGCCTGAGAGTTCCTGTCTATACCTTGTGGCTAACAGCCACTGATGGACCTCTGCTCCATATGCCTATTTAATTCCCTCTTGAAGCCGTCCATGCTTGTAGCCGCCGCCACCTCCTGTGGCAGTGAATTCCAGGTGTTGATCAATCTTTGGGTGAAGAAGGGCTTCCTTTTATCCGTTCTAACCCGACTGCTCAGCAGTCTAATTGCGTGCCCACGAGTTCTGGTATTGTGAGAAAGGGGGAAAAGTCCTTCTTTCTCTACCTGCTGCTTCCCTACCTGTGGACTCCAGGAAAGCTTCTAAGCCCTGTCCAAAGCAAGGTTCGAGTCCAGAGGCACCTTAAATTCCAAGAAGGTTTACAGGGTATAAAGCTTTCAAGAGTCAACACTCCATTCATCGGATAGCTTTCTGACAAAGGTGGATTGGACTCCCGAAAGCTTCTCCCCTGGAACTCTCGTCGGTCTCTTAAGGTGCTGCTGGACTCTTCTCCCACAGGCCAACACAGATGCCCTTCAAAACAAGGTCCCGCCCCAGCGTCTTCGGGTCCTTTAGTGGCTCAGGAGATCAGAAATGACCCATTCAGAAGCTCTCGCCCAGGCGCTGCAAACACCTTCCCCAACCACAAGCCTCCCACCGCGCTCCCAGTCACTGTCGCTTACAGGAGATCTTCTTTTAGGATCACTTGAGGATCAGGTGAACTTGAAAAAATCCACCAGCACCAGGGAGAACAAGATGCACATTATGGATCGGCCTTGGGGGTATAATTGGCAAATTTTTTAAAGCCAGAAATGTTCAGGAAAGACGGTCATGTTCTTTAAAAGTTTACATTTGTCACCTTTTAACTCCCACCCTCCTCCAACGACTTCCCGATGGTGTACAGAGTTCACCGCGTTAGCCTCACCACAACACTGCTAGAAAAGAACACGAGTCCACGGGCACCTTAAAGAGTAACAACATTCGTGGCAGGGTAGGAGCTTTCATGAGCTTTCCCTGCCACCAGTGTTGTTAGTCTTTTAGATGCAACTGGACTCTTCTGCTGCTACAGACAGACTTAACACGGCTCCCCATCTTGATCTATCTCCACTGGAAGGTATATTGATTTTAAATGTGTGACCAGATCATAAGATTATGTCATCCCGTGTTGTCTAGTTCCTTCCGGTCACGGACTTTTAAAATATTTACATGAAATAAATAATAAAAAGGGGATGTATGTGGTGTGGGGGGGAGGGCAACTATCTATATTTAATCTATAACCATCTATACCCATCCTGTAAACCCCGCCCTTCACTTGGAGTCTCAGAGCATCTTACAAACTCCTTTCCCTTCCCCTCCCCACAACAGACACCCTGTGAGGTGGGTGGGGCTGAGAGAACTCTAACACAAACTGCTCTTTTTCAAGGACAGCTGTGCCAGAGCTTGTGACTGACCCAAGGTCACATCAGCAGGTGTAAGTGGAGGAGTGGGGAATCAAACCCAGTTCTCCCAGATTAGAGTCCGCACACTTAACCACTACACCAAACTGGCTCTCAGTGACTTTAATGAGTCACTACTCACTTCTTCAGATATCTCAAGAACATCTGAAGAATATTCTTCACATATCTGAAGAATGGAGCGGTGACTCACGAAAGCTCATCCCCTGCCACAAATTTGTTAGTCTTTAAGGTGCCCACTCATGGATCACTGCCTTGTCGTGGCGAGGGGGCTTGCGCGGTTCGATGAAGCTGTGGGCTATGCCGTGGAGGGCCACCCAAGACAGACAGGCCACAGCAGAGAACTCAGACCAAGAGTGATCCCCTGGAGTAGGTAATGGCAACCCACTCCAGTATCTTTGCCAAGAAAACCCCGTGGACAGTAACAAAAGGCTAAAAGATATGACGCCGGAAGATGAGCCCCTCAGGTCGGAAGGTGTCCAATATGCTACTGAGGAAGAGCAGAGGGCAAGTACAAGTAACCCCAGAAAGAGCGAAGCGGCTGGGCCAAAGCCGAAAGGACGCTCAGTTGTGGATGTGTCTGATGGTGAAAGGAAAGTCCGATGCTGCACGAACATGAAATTGAGCCAACTTCAGAGGACGGCGGAAGACAGGAGGGCCTGGCGGGAGCTGGTCCATGGGGTCGCAAAGAGTCGGACTCGACTGTGCGACTGAACAACAACAAAGGTGCCCATTGGACTCTTACTCTTTTCTACTGCTACGGACAGACTAACAGGGCTATCCATCTTGATCTCACAACACGGTTAGGCAGGTTAGGTCGAGGATTGACTGCCCCCGTGAGCTTCAGAGCAGAGTGTGGATTCAAACCCCAGGTCTCAGGGGTCCGAGTGCAACACTCTCAGCACTACACCACACCGGCTCTCAGCTGGAAAGTCACCAATTACGACATGTCACTAAAGAAACAAACAAGCAGGCAAATGTGTTTTAACTGAAAAGGCTGGGGACAGAACCTGGGACCTTCTACACTTGAAGCATATGCTCTACCACTACAGGCCATACCCAGGGCTCTTTTTGTAGAAAAAGCCGTGCAACACTCTCAGCACTACACCACACCGACTCTCAACTGGAAAGTCACCAATTACGACATGTTACTAAAGAAACAAACAAGCAGGCAAATGGGACCTTCCACACTTGAAGCATCTGCTCTACCACTACAGGCCATCCAGGGCTCTTTTTGTAGAAAAAGCCCAGCAGGAACTCATTAGCATAACAAAATAGCCCTGGCCATACCCATAAGAACAACCTTTATACCGAGTCAGACCACTGAACCGTTGAGCTTGTTATCATTGAGTTTCTGCTGTTGGGTGTGGCCTGTTATGCTAATGAGTTCCTGCTGGGCGTGGCCAACTCGGGAGCCAGCCGGAACTCCGTTCCTGTGCGTTCCTGCCCCAAAATAGCCCTGGCCATACCCATAAGAACAACCTTTATACCAAGTCAGACCACTGAACCGTTGAACTTGTTATCATCTACTCCAGGAGTCCCCAACCCGGTGCCCGTGAGTCCACGGTGCCCACCAAATGTTTTTAGAAAGTAGTTTAGTTTAGTTTATTATGACGGTCTTAAGACCAGCATACAGTATAAACATAATATGAGAAAGAGGGGGGGGGGGAAACAGAGAAAATATACAGAATAAAAATCTAAATTTAATTTTTTTAAAAAAATGCAACTCCTGCAATCTAAGTTTTTGGAAAGTAAGCAGGGCCAGGTGGGGCTTCTGCCCAGCAAGTCTCCTGATTGGCCGCTGGAGCTTTGATGGGCTGTGCAGATTTTTAAAACCGTTCCTTTGGCGGCAGCTGCCACCACAACACAAGGATCTTCCATGTGTGGCTGCAAGTAAGCTGCGGCCACCATTTTGTGGCTGGCTCCGCATCCTGCAGCAGCCATTTTGTGGCTGTCCTTGGGTTTCCCCACCATGCAATGTCGGATTTCCAAAATGGCTTGGAGGAGGCGGAGGAGTTGGTTTTTATACCCCGCCCTTCACTACCCAAAGGAGTCTCAGAGCAGCTTACAATCACCTTCCCTTCCTCTCCCCACAACAGATACCCTGTGAGGTAGGTGGGGCAGAGAGAGCTCTGAGAGAACTGTGACTGACCCAAGGTCACCCAGCTGGCTTCATGTGGAGGAGGAATGGGGAATCAAACCCGGTTCTCCAGAGTAGAGTCTGCCGCTCTTAACCACGACACCAAACTTGGTCTCAGAAAATGTTGGGGACCCCTGGTCAACTCGGACGGACAGTGCCTCTCCCAGGCCTTTGGCAAAGGTCCATTTCAGGCCCGCCGGGAATGTATTTTCTTCTCTCCCCGCCCTCTACAAGCAGCAGGTTAAAAGCAAGAATCCAGAGCAGGTGCACATGCATAGAGCTTGTTTCTCAGGCCGGCCCCTGAAAGACCAGCCGGGGACGGCACGTACATCCGATCGAGGATGGATCAGGAGGGGAATCCGAAGGGGGCAGGGAGGGATGGTATTCCCCGGCATCTGAGGCACTGGCATGGCGTGAGCTGGAACAGAAGGAACAGGAATTGGGGGGAGAGGGGGCTGCGTCCTCTAAGGGGACAACAACACCACACACTGCCAAGACAATAAACTGGGGTTGTGGTTTTGGAAGAGTCGTGGACTGTTGCGGGGCAGGATACGAACCCGCTCTGAGCAGCCATCACGGCCCGGAGGAGGAGGCCGCTTGCCAAGGCGATGAGGCAATGCCGCTGGCAACCCGTCACGTTTCCTGTGCTGTGGATTAGGACAGCTTAAAATATCCCAGACCAGGAGAGTTATTTTGGGGGACTGGGGTGGACAAATGAAAAGATTCTTTGAGAGCGAAACAGAGCTGTCGTTTCACGATCCCGCGCCGGGGGGGGATTCTCGCTTCTCAATGTTGGCAGGGTCCAGAATGGCCGTCGGGAGGGTCACCGGATTAGCACGAGGACTGGTCCTCCCCATTGCAAATGAATGGGGGGACATTTCTGGACGCCGCGGCAGGGCAGGGGTGGTGGTCTGGCTGCTA